AAGGATATTCTATACTAGCATGTGATGCCCAGTACATAAACTGGGGGAAACTGGCCAGGAGGCATGGATCTTCTCTCAGGCTGGGTATGCTAGCAGGTGATCAGCAATTGTATTGTGTATCATCACTTTCTTACCTTGGGGTTTCTTTTTGTTGTCTTCCTTTATGGTACAATTATTATGTTGAATTTCAGTCCTGTTCTCATTTCAACCCATTGCTTTTACTTTTCCTCCTGTTCTCCTCTCCATCCTATGCGGGCAGGTAGGATATGGTACTTAGTTACTGGCTGGGCTTAAACCTCAATACACATAAGAGTTTAAGTCTCAAATGTTTTTCACAGGACTCTAGTACCTGCAATACTCCTCACTCTGAAAGAAACCAAGGTAAGCCAAGGGCTAATTGTTTTCTATTTTGTCAATGTAAGATATAGCAATAGCAGTATATTCTTCTTCAATGATCTTAAGAATATTTAAAAATACCTTTACTTTCCAGTGAATTTACCAATTTCAAGTGAAGGTCTAAGCATTTGTTTTATTAGTCCATTCATCTCTTTCTTTCCACAAAAAAAAAAAAAAAAAAAAAAAGAAAACAAACAAAAAAAAAACCACCAAAAAACGGGACTTCATTTTGGGACAGATATTAATAATTCTTCACCTGTCACTATAAAACTAGAACCATATTGCTGGGAGAGTGCTCCTTCAGTTAGGGAGAACTCCAGTTTCAGGAAAAAGATAGTTTTTATTGGTCTGGTGACAAGCCTTAAGTATAGCTTAGGGGTAAGTGCACACATGAGTACTTCAAATTTTCATACCCAATACAGCTCAGCTAAACAGCAAGGCTGTCCTAGCACAGGGGCCCTCGCTGAACTTCACTTGCCACTGTTTTTGGTAACATGAGAATCGAAAGTGACATCAGCTTCAGAAAGGGGGGGGAAGCTTTTACTTCAGCCCCCTCCCAATCCTACCCTCCCCTACACTTATTAACATTCCCACTACTTCATCTATTTTACAGCCCACATATCATTCATGTTTCAAATATTTTTAAATGGAACAGCACATAATTGCAAAGTAGTATTCAAACACAAACTAAGATCTCAGAAAATTCCCAAGTAAACTGCTGGAAAGGCTCTGCATATTTCTCCTGTTCCTTATACTGGTCATCCTCAGACAGAATACTGAACGAGGCAGACTTTGTCCCACTCAATACAGCCATTCTTCTGAGCATCAAACACCACTTTGTCCTCTGGAGCCTGCAGGAAGTTTGAGACAATGGCAGAGAAGTACTGTCTTCATAGCCCTGATAGCTCAACTGGACTATCAACTAAAAACCCACATGATGTTTGAGAGGAAGTAGAATTCATCGTTCTAATTGTGTTTTTCCAGTTTATATCCTCTGAGGGAAATACAAGGGCAGACAAGCAAAATTGCTTGTAAAAATGGTTGTAACACCAAACAATAGAGAATTCAATTAATCAGACATGCCTTTACATAGTACATAAAGCCTCCATGTGTACTCCACTGAACTGAAATCACTATTTTTCTGTTAAATTCATCCATACTCCTGATGATAGCTCAAATATTGTCCTCTGGGACAAAGGGAGGGAGTGTGAAGAAAAGCTACCGAAGTTAGGGCTGAACACTTTTCAGTATAAAGAATACCTTTCCTTGGGCAAAGTCAAACACTTGCCGATTCTGCTGTGTCTATGTTTGAATGTCCTATGGAATGCTTTTCTTTACCAACTCATTTCATCTCCATGCTGGTTTTTAATTGACAGAACACATATCCCCAAACTTTGTATGGCAGATTTATAGAGTTAAGAGCCTTACTGTAGGAAAGATGGTAGGAACCCCAAGACCAGCACACAATATAGCTGCAGCCAGCCACACACTCCTCTGCAGAATGGCAGCCAGACAGCACAGCTTATTCTGAAATTCTTGTTCATTGGGATTTGATACTGCTGGTGTCACACCAGCAGTGTGGGTGCTGTGGCAAGATAACCACTGCTAGTTCAGTTTCACTCACTTGCAACTCTTGATTATAGATCACAACCTTCACCAGTAAGACAAGTTCTTCAGCAGGACAAAACCTCCCACCTTAACGAGAACCTTGTTACGTCAATAGTAGCAAAACATTTATGCAGAGCTACTCTCGAATCTTCCATGTGGTTGCAAGGTACTTCTCTTGCTAATAAGCTCAACATTCATTTAAGTCTCTGTTGGTTTTGCCCAGTTACTAAGACTGGTAAATGGCAAATTCTAGAACAGTTTGTTTAAACCACCGATTTCTTGGACTGCAGCCCAACAGCCATATGACACTTCTAGCTCCCCACTAAATGATGGTTAGTGCAAGATTTCACCGGACTAAAGCACAAAAGCAGCAAAGTGCTTTCATGCTGTTTACTGCACAATCTTAAAGCTTTGAATCTAATAATCAGTATTGTAAACCCAAAGTTTCAATAACTGCATTTGCAGAGAAATCCCATGCCACATGTTCCCCATGCCACACAGTAACACACCATAACTACATCTTATCTCAATTGTATTATAAACATCATTCCAGAAACTGTACTGGAACTAAATCCCCAACTGGTTTGAAATCATATTAACCCACTCCCAAGGCAAAAAAGCCAGTTTCGATTCTTAAACTGGTTCTAAAAATGACCTTCCTACATAATTTTTACTGTTTTTATAAACTAGATCCTCTGGAAAATGTCATGGTTAAAACAGTAATTCACTTTTGTAAGCACTTGACTACCTATACTAATACACATTTTTTTATTTGCTACCAATTTTCAGTAGCTCAGTACAGGATCGTTCCTTGAGGAAGTTCTACAGCTCAATATTCAATATGCCTTACCATTGGCCACATCTACTTTTTTTTATATGCTGAGAGGCCAGTATTTTTAATCATATAGTATTCTGAGACACACCTCCACCACACAGATATGCAGTAACTTTATTTCCTGGCACCCTTTATCTATTGCTGCCAATCCTATGTCCCAGACCATCCCCAAAAAATGTTTTAGAACATATAGAGTAAGATTGTCATTAAGTACTTTGGGTACCTGGTGCCAACCACAACTCTGGGGTGGCACTATTTCATCCCCAACATCACAGGATTATCTCACTTTCACCAAGTTTACTGCACACACAGCATTGTAGTTAAAGGTTTTAACATTTGCTATTAACATTGGTAATTAATACTTGGTTTAATGTTGAAACTGAATCTTGAATTAACATTTAGTATTAACATCAGAATGAAGATGGTACCTTTTTTCTCAAAAACACATGCCACTCTTCTGACTCTGTAATGAAGCCATAGATCCCTTATAAAATCTAAAAAGTACTTACCAAATATTGCTCTTTATTAACTATTCTCTGCTCTTTGACATCTTGATACACAGAAAAGGACTGACGTAGCTAAGACTGACAACTTGTGGACTTACCAGCCAAGCAGTTCTACTAAATGCCCACTTTTTGTAGATCTGCAGTAGAAGATTGAGACTAATCTTACCTCCCCACTTCTTGAGTACAGTCGTATTTTTTGTCCTGGAGTCACTCAAGCACAATATGAAGCTTTGTGTGCCCAGTACATGTGGCACCAGTCAGCAAAAGGCCACATTGCCTCCATAGCTCTTGAGATGTACAAGCAGTCAAGAACACCGTGGTGTGATCCACAGCTTATGTGCAACAGCCATGACTTAACATCCTCATCTTTATTCAAAAGCATATGTAAAACATGGCATGTAAAAATATGCACCATTCCCAGCAACATTTGTTAACAGAAACAAGTTATTATTTAAAGCAATCAAGAGAAAGCTATTTTCTACTTTATTTCTGCAGATCTTGATATTCAATAGACTGATTTACCATTCCTTGCTCAAAAAGAGCAGCCTTTAGCCAAAGAAGCAGGCCACTGTTTAATAAGAAAACCATAGGAGATACTGAATGAGCCAATGCACTCCTGGAGTTCACATCCTTGGCATCCACTTCAGTAGCATGATGGATACTTATTTTTGACATTTCCAATGCTTTATGTGCTGTTCCTGGTAATGTTTATACTTCATACTACTTTTGACAGAAAATTGGACTTTACATAGAATTTGTCATTGATGAACAGATACACCCCCATGAACTACAGGGCTGTTTTATATATTTTGGATGATTTCAAAGTTATTCAGTTATAGTAGGAATTATGCTATCATTATGTTTCTGCCTTTACAAAGAATTCCTGACAATAAGGCTTGAAAGTCATGTTTCAAGGCAAATTTTATCTTATGTACACCCTGAGTTGTCTTTAAATTTACTTGGTGACCAACTTATCATCCTCCATTCTTGTGTGGAAGGGACAGTTTGCTGACTACAGGAAATATGCTGCTATTACGATTACACCACCAGTACTTTTCAAGTGACTGTTCAAAGCTGTCTTAGTTGCAAGATGTAGCTGGGGGTGTGTATTCTATTGCTATTTATTAGAGGTGTGGCAGTTATCTTCTGTTAATTGGGCAGTTTTCTTTATCTCTTCCACATCCAACCCTCCCTCTGGGGAGGTATCTTCTGTTAATGGTCATTCCTTGACTGACAAAATTGCATTATCTCATTGGGAGAGGCTCTGCCCAGAGGGAGGAGCCAAGCATTCCTATCTGGATATAATCTGAGGTTTGGAATACCACAAGGCAACCTTTTCTCACTGGATTCCCAGGAGCAGCTTTCTTCTCCACTGGATTTCCAGAGGAAGGTCAGGGCCATCTACACCACCAGTGGACCTTCAGAGGAAAACTCCACCCTTCTACAGGATCACTACTTCAATAGAACCACACCTGTTGCTCCAAAGTACTCCAGCCACCATCTAACTGGACTGCTACCAACATCCTGATTCCCACAGGGTTGTCAGGTTGTATTCTGACTCTATCAGTGTTGTTTTGTATTACTGCTTTTTTATTTTTCCTAATAAAGAACTGTTATTCCTATTCCCATATCTCTGCCTGAGAGCTCCTTAATTTTAAAATTATAGTATTTTGGGAGAGGGTTTACATTTTTCCATTTCAAGGGAGGCTCTTGCCTTCCTTAGCAGACACCTGTCTTTTCAAACCAAGACAAAAGCCCAAGTTGCAATGTACGTTAGCTCTCTTCCCACTACCAACCTCTTTCCCCCACAGAGCAAGCAAAGCAAGCAAGTACTGCTGCCAGTGAATTCCTCAAAGGGCAGTTCCACTCTTGTGGTACTAGTCTTCTCCTGCTGAAGCAGCAGCTCATAAAACCCTGACTCCTCACTCCCTCACCAGACACAGTGATGCAAGCTGTAGACATTGTCTTTGCTTTCGACCTTTTTACAGGGTCTGCCTGTGAGCTCCACTCCCGAGTTATGACAGATCTCCAGTATCTGCAAGACTGTGCACCTATACGGTATTTTAAAAGGGTAAATAGTCAAGGGGTTTTTCATGCACTCCTTTCCCTAATATCACTGCTACACTTCCAGCAGAAGACAGTTCAGTATTTTGGAAAGATGGTGTTTTAAATATCTACAGACATTATCTACTGGACAAAACTGCAGCTATTTTAGCAGGCTTTTCAAAAGCATTAACTCCAAGCCACAGTATTTCTTCAGGTGTTACACTTCCTTCTGGTTACATCATCCACATTTGTCAGGCAGTTCTGACAAGTGCTCCCATTCATCTCTGAAAAAGGAGAACAAGATCTTAGTAACAGTTCATTCAAGGAAGAAATTTCAATTTGCAAGTAAGCACACAACAGTTTGTATTAACATGCTGCTAATTCTGAAAAAAACCCCAAAAAACCTAAACACACAGACTAATACTTCTCAGAAAGTTTTTTGTCTCGTCTCAGATTCCGGATCCGTATAAAGTTTTTCAACAACAAATTCAGGTTCGGGATAGGATCATCACAGATGAGACAAAAGCAGTACATGAACAATACATTTAGTAGGAAATAGCCCATAAGGTTTCTAATTGCTTAGTTTTTGTATTACATCTAGCATTTTGTTGTATTTCAGTAATAGTGTACACTTATTTAAAACTCCTTGTAGGTTTGAAAGCTAAGCAAGGTTAGGCACAGCTATCAGCTCACACTGTGCCTTGGGGAACAAGTGCTTTTTAAATGACTATGACTTACCATATCAATTGATCAATTATGTTTGTAACTATCATACTGCAAAAAAATCTGAACTGTAAACATGGTTACTTTACTTAGAATCAGAAAATGTTTATGAGCTTTTCAGTTACATACCTGAATAAGCCAAAAGCACTTGTTCCTGCTTGTTTTCTACAAAACACATTTTCCTGTAAAAAAGAGATTTATAAATTCAGAGAAGTTTTCTTTCATCACTCAAAATACAACCTGCCATCAAACATAGGTTGGATATTGGGAAGAAGTTTTTTACAAAAAGAGTGATAAAGTACTGGAATGGTCTGCCTAGGGAGGTGGTAGAGTCACCATCCCTGGATGTGTTTTTAAAAAAAAGACTGGATGTGGCTCTTGATGCCATGGTTTAGTTGAGCACGGACTGGACTCTGTGATCTTGAAGGTCTCTTCCAACCTTGTGATTCTGTGATCCAATCAGCCTCTCGTACAGACCAAACTGCATTTTTCAATATGTGCTGCATTAGTATCAGCACACTGCAAGTTCTGTGAAACTTCAATCAAAAGTGTAGTCATATCACAGTACAATTTGTTTTGCTCCTTTTGCCCAGCTATTGCTCAAGCTGGGTATGAACTATGATAGGAGGGGGAATTACACTTGATTATCAGGGTATCTGACACTGGCAATTTGCCTATCAGGATTAAAAATAATATTTACTAGAATTCATACCTTCTATTCAGAGGCAGCCTTCAAGCATCTCTGCAAAGACACAAAACACACTGGTTAGTTAATACTAACAAGGTTTGCTACTTCTAACTTTTTTCTAGGTGAGCAATAAAGTCACACCCTTTTCTACCTGCAATAGTGCCTGTCTAAACAATACAGCATCTTATAGGCAGCACTGCTGCCCAAGAAGTTTCACTTATACACTTGAACTTCACATACTAGAACAAAACCCACTGTTCAAAAGAAAGTACTGATAGCTAACAAAGTATTTAAAAGTACCTTTCTTGAATAAGGAGTAGAATGAAGTTACAGATGTGTAGCAACACAGGAAAATGAGACATTCTCACTCCCTCTGTTGTAACTTTTTAACTACAACCAGCCGATGGACCCGAATACCAGTGCAGTACAGTGAATTTCACTGAAAAATGTTAAGTTCAGCTACTTAGGTGGGAATGAAGTTCTTGGAGAAACCACTATTATTCTTAAAGCACAGTAAGCATTTGTGAGCATTCTTTTTGCCTGCTTCAAGTACATTATACCAGCCCTTGAGAAGTAATTTATCTCTGGAGCTGAAATAGAATTTAGAATTCACTACAATTTACCATCAAATTCCACCTTTGTAATTAGACATTTCCTAAATGCTCACATGTGAATGAGCCCCAAATTAATTGTCCTAAGAGGACTGAAGTGAAAACATCATCCCTAGCTTTCAAACTTCCTAACCAAACCTGACTAATGCTTGTTATTTACCCACTATAAGGCAGAATATTCTTTAACACTTCCTCCTCTCTGCTCTTTAAAGATGCAAGCTTCTACAGCAGTATTTATTTGTGTCAACACAGACCTGAGGTGGGTTTAAACAATGCAACAACATTCTTATTCACAGCCTGGTACATGCTGGCACCTCACTTGTACACAGCAACAGCATTAAACCAACAGCAGCTTGGATGGTTTATGATTGAAAAATTGTAAGTGGTTTGATCTCAGTAGCCAAAGCCTTTAGAAATTGCTCATCAATGCATCAGGTTTGGCAGTTTTAGCATGATTCACCATTATCCACAAGGATCAGTGACAGGAACTGTAACACCATTCATACATTTATATATTCCACAAGACAACATTCACCTCTTTCACTAGCAGTGTACTAAATGGGAATAAATTACAACCAATAAAAAATGTCTGCTGTTTATTCAATACATATTACCTTTTCTTTTATTTCCTGTCTCGAGGAAATCTTTCTTCAGCATATGTCGCATTCCCATTACTTGAAACTGTTCATGCCACTCTAGAAATTGAGTAAAATCACAAATTACAACAAGTTCATGTATAATGCTACATAAGCCAGTAAGAACAACCAATTTCTACTTTTGTAACAACTGGTTATAAGCATTTGAATAAAATTTAAATGAATACAGATCCTGGATCTTTATGAATACAAATTCTTTTTTCTTTCTTTCAAGGAAGTGAGGATATCAACTATACATTAAAAAAATGAATACACATTTTTATTAAATTACAGGAATATTTGCTTATTTATATTAGTAAGCATCCAGATGTCCTTTTTTTTTTTTTTTTTTGACTAAACACTGCTTCATACTCATTTCCCAATAAAGTGCAAATTCACAATTAAAAGCTATACTGAAGTGAACTTTAAATTTTGTACAAACACTTCAGGATAGGCATTTTACCAGCTCCACCAACACAAATATCTATTCCCAAACCCCCCAGCCCACACAGCTCTAGACCATGTCAAACATGCCCAAAATTACTGATGCCTCAATTTTAAAGCTAATGACACAACTACTAATTTAATCCTATGCATCATCTTCTAATCCATTTATCCCCACTGATAATTTAGAACATACTCAGCTTTCAGGAAAATCCACTTGTGTGTATGACGTATTCTTCTACTTGTGACAGGCCTTCCATGAAATGCTAAAATTAAAGATAAGCAAAATTATCTTTTAAACTAGAGAACATCTCTCTCATGTTACTATGTCAGAAACATAACCACCAAGCGCTAAAAAACTGACATTTTCATACAATTTAATACTCTTCTGAAAGGGTGAAATGCCCAACAAGGTGAAATTTTGTAAGCAAAAGAAGTCTACTAAAAACTAACCTACAGACTGACTTTAACTCAAAGAGCACCAAACTCAAAAATTATCAAATAATTACTTATCACTTTGATAGCAGTTATGAAAACGCAATGTAGTTTTTCATTTCTGTCCTACTTAGTAGCCATACAAAACTGATACTCTCTGGCACTTCCCATACTTTGAGAGACAAAAATACAGAAACCAAGTTATGAAACACATGCATTTGAGTTGGTCTAAAACAGAAATGCAGTTACTTCTAGAGCAACATTAAAAATTCCAGAGCTGTTACCTTAATGTGCAATGTACTTGACACCGTTGAAAACCTCCTCTCCATCACACCTAAAAACAAATATGGACAGCCTTACAATTTGAAATCACCGGATTTAATATTACCAGGCCAGCAAGTCACATACATTATGAGGCAATAATCATCAACACAATCTTTAGAAGCAGTACATTAAGTACTAAACCACAAGTGCGCAGAAGAAAAGCAATAAGAAATGCACTTTTAAGCAACAAAGGATTTGCAAGTTACTCCTATTTGAAATCTCATATGAAAAGCATTGTAGAAATAACTGCATGTTCCCACTGCTAAACCTCAGTCCAAAGACCTTTTAAGGAAAAGTCATCTCCAGTTTTTAATCATTTTTAAGAACTGACTGAAGTTGGGTTTAGAGAATTGTTTTAACCATGTAACAATTATCAAAATCCACCAACTCAAGCAGTCTAAAAAATGTGTGACAATACATTATCACTTGAATGTGCTTATTTAAAATATCTCACTCTGTACTACACAGACCTAAAAAATGCACTGAGCAATGAAAGATAACCTATCACATATTTTTGTTTCCTATCACAAAAACAAGGGTATAGAAAGCCTTAGTTAAGCTTCTACTTCTTGTGTGCAATAAAATTAACGCCTGAGTGCAAGAAACTCAATAATCAAAGGTTACTAATGGTTTAAGTTAGAAAAATTTACTGTTTGGTAATGTAATATGTGACTCAAACTGTTAGACAAGATAATTAAACACACAATGAATGCACCTGACAACTTCCTATGCAAATCAACCCACATCCTAATCTTTGCTTGCAGGTAAGAGCCTGGAATTGTACATACATATAGTTAATGGTATTTCCCGTTCTTTTTGAAGCATTATGGGTTCAAAGACCTCAGCATTTCATAGGAAGGACAAAAAGGCATCTTAAGCACACAATAGGCTTCTGTCAGTACTTTGGGGTGGTGGTTTACTTTTATAACGAATCTCTCTTTATTATGCTATGTCATTGTCTTAAAAATACAAAAACATGATTACTTAGAACATAATCTTATTATTTATATCAGGGATCACCTAAATATTGTGGGTCTTTTTTCCTTGGGATGCTATGTAGATTTCACAGTACTTCTGTAAGTCTTCTGCTGTGCAGCAATGCCATGATGCCGGTCAGTGAGCCCTCTATAAAGATGTACGGGTAGCACAAGCATGTGCACCAGCCCTCTGCCACATGAACAAGGCGATTCCGCCTTATCCAGCATTTAATGCATGCACCCGGGTGTCTGAAGGCTGCCGCCCTGTGCAGGGCTGCCCCAGCCGCGGCTGAGGGCTCAGCAGGGGCAGCACCCCCGCACCAGCCCCGGCCGCCATGGGCGGGGATCAAAATGGCGCGGGCCCGGCAGCGCCACGCGGGTCACCGCGGCCTACCGATCCCAGCCTGCCCCGCGCCCCGGGACGCGGCTTCCGGCAGGGAGCCTGCCGCGGGGCATGCTGAGACATGTAGTCCAGTAAGTCCCCTCGCACCTCCGCGGCTCTCAGCAGGGCACCGTGCACGGGCGGCTGCGGCCCCACAGCCGGGTTACGGTTGCCTTTCGCCTGGCTCTATTCGCGCCTCCCAAGGGTGAGAGCTTCCCCTGACGGCTCCATCCTCAGGCACTATGAGACCGGCACTGCGGGCGATCGTCCCGAACATCCAAGCAAAAGGAAGAAGCCATCCGCCGCCGGGGCAGCAGCACACACGCATCCCGCACCGCCTTACCGTGTACCGCCTCACCAGGCGCTCCGCGGGGAAAAAGGGGGCGGGGCGCGCGCGCGCCAGCTTTATATGTTCGCTGCAGGGTGGGAACGAGGCTGGCCACGCCCCCTGCGCGCGGGCCGAGGGGCGGAGGCGTCGCGCGGAGCTGGGGCGGGAGCGCGCCTGGCTGTCGGGGGCGCGCGGCGGGGCGGGCGCTGCCGCGCTGCCCGCGCGGGCCGGACGCTGAGGGGCCGCGGGAGCGGCCGGGCGGGGCCGCTCGCACGGCTTGCGTTACAGGTTTCACGGGAAAACGCGCAGCGGTGGTACGCCAGTTTCTACTCCACCTCCCAAACCTAAAGAACGTGTTTCTCGAAGAATCGTAGCGTCTTTAAGGTTAAAAAAGACCTGAGATAATCGAATCCAACCTGTGTCCGAGCACCACCACGTTAACCAGACCATGGCGCTAAGTGCCTCATCCAGTCTCTCCTCAAACACCTCCAGGGATAGTGACTCCAGCACCTCCCTGCGCAGCCCATTCCAATGCCTAAACACCCTTTCTGTGAAGAAATTCCTAATGTCCAGCTTCAACCTCCCCTGGCGCAGCTTATGACTGATTGTCCTCTTATCCTGCTGCTGATTTCTTGGGAGAAGAGGCCACCCCCCACCTGGCTACAGTCCTCTTCAGGGGCGTTGTAGAGAGTGAGAAAGTCACTCGCCCCTGAGTCTCCTTTTCTCCCCCAACTCTCTCAATCACTCCCCACAGGACTTGTGCTCCAGATCCTTCACCAGCCTTGTTGCCCTTCTCTGGACTCTTGTCCTTCTTCCAGTGAGGAGCCCAGAGCTGGGTCACAGCTCATGAGGTGTGGCCTCACCATTGCAGCGTACAAGGTGCAATTGTACATCGTACAAGGGAACAATCACTGCCTGGCCCTGCTGGCCACACCATTGCTGATACAGGCCAAATGCCATTGGCCTTCTTGGCCACCTGGGCACAGCTGTCTCATGTTCAGCCACCAACACTCCCAGGTCCTTTTCTACCAGGCAGCTTCCCAGCTGCCCCAAGAGTGAATACTTGTTTCTTATATCTATCTTATTTTCCTGTTCCCTAGGGCACCCAACTGGTTAACCTTGTGAAGCTATGCCTTGATGCCTCAACTTTCCTCCAGCTCTAATTAGATGTTTCTGAAACATTAACCACAGGCACACCCATTTTTGCTTTTTGGAAATAGCATGTTATGCTATATCCCTGTATAACATTACAAGTTGTAAGAGCTGAAAAATCTCCTCTTACCCACAACTGGCAAAAAATTGAGCTTTCTGCAGTTTTTCACTCTATACATAGAGTCTAAGGATATTGTTCCACAGTGAACCTAATAATGGACTTTAGGAAGAACTTCTGTACTGTGAAGGTGGTTGGACACTGGAAGAGACTGCCCAGAAAAGCTGTGGATGCCCCATCTCTGGAAGTGTTTGAGGCCAGGTTGGATGGGGCTGCAAGCAAGCTGGTCTAGTGGAATGGAAGGCTTGTCAGGGGGAGCTTCTTTATTATTCTGGATTATCTTTAGTGTTCCTTCCAGCCCAAACCATTTTATGTTTCACCCTATTCCACCACAATTTAGCCACTGGAAGTTGTACAGCTGCACCTTGTAAAGTGACAGTCTCCATCTGAATCTGCCTCCTGTACTATGTGGAAGAGTTGGAAAAAAGTCTTAGTGAAAGGTGCGTGGGCTACAGTGGGGATAGCAGGAGCACTACAGCCTAGATGATGTTTGAACTGATGGGAAACCATATCCTAAATTCTCATTTATGTAGGTATGTTTATAAATAGGTTTTTTTTGTCTTCCTGTTTATTGAAAGGTTTAGTATATCAAGCAACTTAATTGATGAAATAAGGAAAAAACAAGGAAGGATGAAGAACAGCTGAAAATGTTTGGTGTTTTGACAAGTTATTAACAATATGACAAAACCAATATTCCACATATGGACTCTTCTTAGGAGGGTTTAACTGCTGGGAACAGATAAGGGAAATCTAGAATAGTGAGTTATAAGGTGCTAAAATATTTGGCAATTTTATTCCTGAAATTACTGAGATTAATACTATCAGGAAAACTAAACAGCTGGCAAATTTTAACCAAGTTTTCTTCTGCAGTCCATGGCAGTGAATGACACTTCTCTTTGCTTTTCTTCTTATACATCCCATTTTACATGTCTGACATCTTGACTGTGAGCTGCAGTTGACCCCTTTTCTGCTGTAGAGGCATGAGGAGAGAGGTCTGAAATGCTGCCTTTTTCTATGAGTGCTTCCCACCGCAGCTGTTCCAGCTGCTGTTTCTGCAGGAGTGAGAGTGAGAAGCTGTAAGCATTGGGGAAGAGCTGCTAGTGCTTCAGGGAATGCTCAGCAGCCCAGCTTGGGCACAGATAAGCAAGCAATTTATGCTGTTGTTGTCTTTCCACCTGACATATTCAAAAGGCCTCAAAACTGATGTTTGCCACATGGCACAGAAAATGTTGAGCCACCCTCCCCTAGTGATATCAGGGTTAAAGATAAGCAAAGTAATCACAGACGTTAATCACTACTCAATTGGCCCTAAAGAAAGAAGGCAGCTCCTTACCATTCCTTTACTAAGTAATAATAATTTACTAATAATTCCATATTTCTAACAGTGCACTGGAGGGTTTTTACTGCATGTTAATTTCTCAAAGACTGGGGGGAGAAAAACAATTAATCCCAAACTACATTAAAATAAGTATAAATTAGTACAATTTTAGTTTGCATTTAATAATAAGAAGCCTCTAAATACTGAGGGTGAGTAAGGGCTGTCCAGGGCTGTGGGGTGCTGCTCTGTAGTGTAAGCTTTGCAGGTGAAACACAGGTGAGCACCCAGGACAGGGAGCCTCACACTGTGCAGTGCTTCTGCACCCTGGCTTTGGAACTTGGCAGAGGAAACTCCTCATCTCTCTGTCAGATTGGAGGGCACAGGTTTACTAGTAGAGCCTGAATGCACTGCTTTGCAAACCTTTTATCCCCAAAGAAGTGTGTCTCATATTTCTCAGCGTCACCCAAGGCTGCTAGCACTGGACAAGCTTGTGGGTCAAGTGAAGCATGGCTTGAATGTAGGTAGGCAACAATTACAAGTCTGAAAAAAGTTAACCAAACCAAAGTAAAAATGTACACCAGAAACATAGATTATTTTTCAAAGTAAGGTTCCTTATTTTGCATTTCTTCCCCCTCCTTCAGTCTTTCACATCTTTAAATTATATCCCAGCTGTCTGGATGAGGGTGCAAGATGTAGAGCAAGAACTGATCCTCTATTGCCACTCTCCAGAGAGATCCTAAGGCTGGTCTGAGCCATAAGCCTGCTTGCCATAAAGTGTTAGTTTATAGATGAGTTGCTTCTGAATTTAGCTCACAGAAGGCTTCACATTCATGCACAGTGTCAGTACTGGCAAAAGGAAGTGCTGATTATAAGATAATGGGGATGTAATGGATTGACTCTTGTGTTGGCCCACACAAATGTATGTCAGTCTGGAAGACTGGTGATGTGACTACATTGCTTTTCAGGTCTCAGCAACTCTCTCAAAGGTCTCTTTTTGTGTCTTAAATTACTTATTTCTTGTTCTTTCTCTTTATTTCTATCTCTCTCCCCGTCCCCCCACCCCCCCCCTGCCCCCCTCCCCCAACTTCCTTTCTGTTCCTCTTTTAGGTCTGGCTTCCTGGATTTTCTCCAATAATGTTGTAGTTTTGATGACTCATGTCTCTTGGTTTGGTTTGGGGTTTTTACCAGGGCATCCTTTGGGATGCTGAGTTCCCTTCCCTCTCACCTTCCCAGTAGGAAGTCTATTGTATGTAGCTTTAATTTCTTCCTTTTCAAAACAGATAGTACTCATTGCAAACTTCTGAGCTGACTTTGCCATATTTCACATTGTGCATCATAAAATACTTGAGTTGGGAAACAATTTAACTTATGAATGTGACTCTGTTTTTAGTATTTTGCAGATACCAGAATTTTTTATTTAAATTTCTCATGTCTCTTTAATTTTTTTAATCACTTCAGTGTCACAGATAGACAAGTGCTTTTTAAAATTTTTAATAATAAATGAGATCATAAAAAGATTAAAACAGCTGTACAGGGTCAGATCAAAGGTCTACCAACCCCCACCACCCATTAGTATCCTGCTCCCAAATGTAGCCCAAAGTAAATGCCTAGGGAGGGGAGTAGGGATAGAACAAGCATGTCCTTCCCCAAGTATTTGCCCAGCCTCTGGATATATAAACCTTGGAAACCTCCTAGAGGGTTATCACTTTTGTGTGCATGAGAATGTAACAATCCTCCATTAATTTCCTAACCATAATTTTTTCCAGTCTTCCCCAGAGCCTTTATACAATTTTAGGATCCCCAATAACAATGGCAAAGAATACCAGAGCTTAAGTAGTGTTACAGGAAAACACATCTCCTATAATTCGCTTTGTATCAGCTTTCTGTTAGCTCTTTGCACAGTTTTAGAAGAAGCAGTGGTCATCCCCTCGTTGAGCACCCACCACCCAATCTCTTCTTCAGGCTGAGGAAACCTCATTTATTTAATCATTCCTCATAGGGTAATCAGTTCCTACCTTTGATGATATTCTTGTTGATCTTCTTTCAACTTCTTTTGCTTGCTTTTTGAGATGGGACTCCCAGAGTATAGAGTCTGTTCAGGAAGCAAGTATGACATACTCTTATGCAGAGCTGCCATGATGTTCTCTGCTTTCTTTTTTTGTTCCTTTGCACTTCCTAAACTCTGGTGTCCCTTTTTGGCTGCCTCTGTGCATGGAGCTGGCATTTCCACAGAGCTGTCTGTCATAACTGTGGGATCTCACATTGGAGCAATAAAGGCCAGAGCCCATCGTTTTGCATTTGCTGTTGTGTTTGCTTTCCTTGGTAAGCAGCGCTTTATATTGATCTATGTCGAATTTCATGTCTTACTGTTGCACTCACTCAGCCTTTTTAAGATCTTGCAGCTACTTTCACATCAGCAATAAATAAATGATTACTAGTTTTTTTTTACCCCTCTGCATACCACCTATTTCATATCAATTCAGTAAGTTCACCAGTGCAGGTCATGCAGGTTCCTCTGGTAGTTT